GAATTTTGCTGGCTCAGATAAGAACAAGAAAATATTTCCATTCTGCTCAAATCGATTTTCCTCATCACGGTGGAAAATCCACATCAATTAAGACCCCACGAATCAAACAAACTTTCCAAAAATAAAAAGTTTTGAAGGAAATTCTACTGGTGTATGGGCAGCTTTAGTGTGTGTGGGATCTGATGAGGGGCTGCATAGAAAACTCTTCCCCTATCCAGGTACGGGTCACCAGTAGCAATGGATGTTTCCCTCATTTGTTTTGTTGCTTTATAAATATACTTGGAGGGACAACAGGGCTGTCAATAAGGTATTTGCTGCCTGAAACTATGTATAGGAACGACACTAAGGGGCGCTATTCAAAACATGAAAATGGGGAGAAAAAGGAAATTCAGTAATGTAGAAAAATCCTGCATAAATATCTCCATGGCAACATTTCTACTTTACAGCTAGCCTCCATGCAAAAAAACTGTAATTTAAGTAAAATTCTCAATAGCCGCAGAGAATATAAATCCACTTTATGTGCTTCAAACGCCTTTGGAAACACAGATATTACCATATAAAAGTAGAAGTGACACCATCACTGTGCTGTACACAGCCTGTGCAGAGAGCAGAGCTGTGGGAGGGACCCAGCAAGTTCCACCCACTACATGCTGCCTGCAATTAACTGCAGGAGGGTGCGGATACAAGACCAGGCACCCTGCATAAGTAGAGAGAGCAGCAGTTACTGGTCTTTCTTACAGGAAGCGCCTGCACAGAGGAAAAGTGTCACAGTGCATTACTGCACAGATCTGGAAGAAATACTCACCAAGATTCAATAATAATAATAATAATAATGCACATGCCTCTTGCACGTATTCAATATTTAATAATCTCAAGAGTTCTACTTCAAAACAATATCCTGCTTTTTATTATGCTGAAGTTCTTCCTGAAAGTGACCCTGTTGCTAAAAATAAAAGTTAAAATAAAGGATGTACTTGCAAAGGAAAAAGGTAAATAGAGGAACTGACATCTTAGTTGTCACTGGAACAGGTTGTAAATAGTTACCTCTCCCACTGCCCATGCCCATACATGTCACTGTTAAAACAAAACTGTCCCCTGAAGTCTCTGCAGAAACCAACACTGACTTCAGGGGACAATGTCTATTCATCAGAGCGGCATTCTCGGTCACAGGCAGTGGGAGAAGTAACGGCTTACAACCTGCACCAGTGACAACTAAGAAGGCAGTTTCCCTCACTTTGCAGACATTTTTTCTCACTTCCTGTTGCATTTTCAGGAACAGGAAGTGAGGGAAGAAAGCTATCAAATGAGACAGAGACTGCAAACAAACTGACAGGGGGTTTAACCCTTTCCTATCCAAAAATGTATTGACTATGCATACAGTTTATCAATTGCTCATTTCAGATAACATGTGTATAAAAATCATAGCCCCCATCCCCCAGAAGAGCCTACTCAGGTCTATCTATCCTCTTTTTCTAGACTGAAGGTTGACTTACCGTCCATACCGAGCGGATCGTTAACCAAAGGTATATATGACATGGCAGGAGTAGTGGTGATCCTCAAACCAAAGTCAGGAACAATGGTAGACAAATCCAGAAGGAGAGAAGGAGACACCCTGAAAGGTATAATGGAGTAGAAGTGACAGCACTGCTTCCCATTCAGGAGATCCTTGGCTGACTGGCGGCCTAAGTGCCACAACCTGTTCTGCAGCATTATGTGAACACGTCGTTGACACAAGGAAGCCTGTCACTGCTACTTAATCATGCTATTATTTATACCGGCAGATACAAACCGGTTTGACAGTTTTCATATTTAATGTCTTTTATACCTTTTATATGTATATTTATTTATGGTTTTCATTGTCCAGTAACGTAACAAGAACAGGAGTAGCTCTATGTATTGACTCAATATGTTCATTCATAAAAAGATAAAAGAGCTAAAAAGCAATTCCTGACAACAACTGAGATTTTAAAGTGACGCTAAACTCATGAGTTAAAGCTGACTTTTTACACTCAAAAAATCTAATTTTACCAATTCATCCCTCTATG